TCGCATTGAGGTGCAAAGCAAAACCCACAGGGGGCAGGTAGGACCTATGGCTGAACCCATCCAGGTTATATAAAAACCCAATAATCAGCTTTATCCATAGGATGTATTCAAGATCTGGAGTCCCATATTACTCTGTTAACCAGAATATAATGCCACAGTGTCTGACAAATAAAAGGAAATGGAAAATCTTAACATCTCTAAAAAAAAAAAAAAGATAGTTAATATAGGTCATTAAAATATAATTTCAAAACGTCATGGAAAATGAAGAGGTTCATCTCAACAAAGTGGTACATCTACCAGTAATATTAATAAATTATGCGTCCTTCTCTAATTATCCTCAGGCAGTAAGAAGCTAAGGCTATTGTGGGCGTGGGGAATCTTGTTCCCAATTAAATTAAGGTCATTAGTAGGGAAAGTAAGAATGGACAATGAGTAGTGAACTAGTAGTCTCTGCCTCAATCCCTCATATTTCCCAGTCCCGTGGTCCTAAATTAAAGGTATCTGTATCTGTACACAGATGAAGATAGGAAGACAGACAACAGATTCTTTACCATAAAATATATCATATATGCAATAAAGTGTGTGTGTGTGTGTGTGTGTGTATATATATATATATATATATATATATATATATATATATAAAATACATGTATAGATTAAAGCAAAAATCAGTATTTCACTTGAAGGATAATACTATCAGTTCAAAAGATATTATTTTATGCATCATAACAAAGAAAAAATGTTGCCAACTAACACAATGATTTGTTACTGATTTGTATTCCATACTCATTAAAAGTTATCCTTCAGTCTAATTTTTGACACATATTACTTTTGTAACTACATGAAAACCAAAGCTGCTAAAATAAATCATTTATTTCTAAGGCAATGATAATGAATATCACCTAGGGATCATCCTTTCAGAGATGTTAAAATATGAAAATTAAGTATTTGTCTATCCAAAACCTTATTTATGAAACAGGATGATTTCCAGCACTGTTGGGTCTCTCATGTATATTTCCCAGGATGCCTCTTTTGCACCACAGAGATAACTTTCTCAAGAGAAACAACCAAATATGCAGTCATATCTCGTTTTCTCTCATTTTCAAGCCATTCTGTAAATGAAATTCTCATTTTTGACTTTTCTTTTATTCCACAGTGCCATTCATCCCTGCCAATGTGCATAGCTGCCCATATGGTGCAGTAACCCCGTATACATATATACCCTAACTTATCAATTCTTCATTTGATGAACATGGGAGCTATTTCCTGTGCTTTGTTCCAGAATTCTCAGTTTTCTTCTGCAACACAAGTAGGAGTTTCCTCAGGGTATTGACCTGGATGTGAAATTGCTCACTCCAGATGGTTGTTTTTCTTCTTCTTACTGAAAGATGTAGCTGTTCTCTTCCTCCCCTGCCCATGAATATCCTGAGTGGACACAAGCCCCATCCCTCCTTAGTCTAATGGATGTAACATCTCTGATGGTTGACCTTCAGAGGGAAGGGAATGAGGATGGAGAAATGGAGTGCCTCCCAGCCAACAGAATGTGACTTTGAGGACAGCCCAAGGAACCAAAGGCAGACAGGGCTTAAGGCAAGAGGTACCACCACTCCCATTGGCTCCGTTGAGCAAAGGTGTGAGCACAGCTGGCAAGGAAGCTAGGGTCTCAGGTTACAGCTTACCTGATGTCACAAAATCTTCTGAGGTCATTTCCATGGAACATGTAAATGAAAGAAACAATAGTGTTTTATTGTGAAAAGGCAAGTCTTATTTATTCAACGCAAAAAGGAAGATCTCCCGAAGTAGCTTGCTCCCCATGACCAGTCTCTTGTAATGGTCTTCACAGCTATAGATGGCCTCCTTGGCCACAGATGCTAGGGTACCAGTGATGTCCTCAGCACACTCTGCTGACTGCATGACAACTCCTCTTATTCAACGCAAAAAGGAAGCTCTCCAGAAGTAGCTTGCTACCCATGACCAGTCTCTTGTAATGGTCTTCCACGGCTATAGATGGCCTCCCTGGTCACAAATGCTAGGGTACCAGTGATGTCCTCAGTACACTCTGCTGACAGCATGAGAGCCTCCTCCACTACCCTCCTCCACTCTGCTCCTACCTGACCTACTGTGGGCTTTATCATTTATCAGAAAGAGCCTGTTTCACTGAAACTTCAGCTCTCAGACACTCGTAATGCAGTCTGTGCATTATAGAGAGCTCGAAGGTCTGAACAGAAAACCATATGGAGAGTTCAATTTCAGGATCCTGGAAATGAGTAAGGATGGTACACCATGAAGGTTTCCCACAGACAATGAGGAAAGAAAGAGATTCTTAATTTTGACCCTCACTTAATTCACTCATGGATTCTGGTTCAAAAGCCTACTGATCATATCATTTGTTGCCAAAAATGAAAAAAACACACAAAACCAAAAGGCCCCCAAACCAGTACAAACTTCTAAGTGTGGTATTTGACAGGTGTGGCAATATGGACCCACCCATTTCACAATCTTACCATCTCCTTCATGGCCATGCTGCATTGCAGCCAAACTCGACTAGTAACTGTCTCTGGGATGTTCCCTCTTTTCCCATAAGCTGTGGTACTGGAAAAGTATCACTCATATTCTGCCCCAAGCTGCAGTCTTTCTACCCTTAACACAGCTCATCTCCCTACAAAGACTTCACACTCCCTATGGCTTTGGTTCACCAGGCTGCACACCCCACTCACCCTACCCTGTCCAGAGCAAAGAAACGGACACATAGTAGGCACAAAGTCAATGTTTACTTAAAAAATAATGAATCAGGGGCATCTGGGTGGTTCTGTTGGTTGAGCATCCAACTCTTGGTTTTAGCTCAGGTCCTACTCTCAGGGTCATGAGATCAGAGAACCGTCAGGCTCCATGCTCAGTGGGGAATCTGCTTAGGGTTCTCTCTCTCCCTGTCTCTCTGCCCTTCCCTGCTTGCTCTCTCTAAAAGAAATACATAAGTCTTAAAAAAAAATGATGAATGATCAGATACTGTCTTATCAAACTGGAACACCTTGAAATACAAAGGCCAAGTCAGTTAATTAATACTGTATTTGCTCATCCTTCTTTATGCCCCCCACATGTATGAACAGCACTACCATCTCCGTGCCCAGGAGAAAATGTGTCATTTCATATTCTTGATCATCCCTCACTCATCTAATCGTTCCCATGTTCTCTGGGGTCTATGCTCATGTCCCCTCTACGTGCCTGTTGTTCAGGGCTTTTTATCATCTATCTCTCCCCTACGTGGCCAGAGTCCCAATGGGTTTCTCTGATTCCAGTTTTCCCATACGTACTCAGGCAGTGGCCATTCTAAGCACAGGTGTGGACAAGTCCCTCCTTTGTGCCCTACATCTCTGTAGGTCGTGCCCCATGACTACCTGAGCAGATCCTGCCCCCTGCATCTCCTGTCCAATTACCCTGAGCTGTGAGAGTCCTGAACTCCCCCAGCGGTCTCCACACTGTGAGACTGCATCTGGGCATGTACCCCCACTCTGCCCAACTGTTTATATATACCAGGTATTATCACAGGACATGTACTAGGCATTTAATTGTTTCAAGAAAGGAATAAATTGACCCACTTTGAGAAAATTATGTTTCCCTATCTTTGAAGTGGGTGGGTGAATGGTGTTGACATCTGAGATCCATTCTAGTTGATATCCTTGAGTTCCATGAATGGCTAATGTGTGTTGCCTCGGAGACCAGGCGAAGCTGCATAAGAGGGGTTGGGACAAGGAAACCAACCCCTGGATTATGGCACCCTACCTGACCTCGTCCTAGACAAGCTCCTCCTCAATTTTTGAGATAACCTGCAAAACAAAACAGAACAAAGCTAGTCATAACAAGTACCATGTAGTGACAACATTTAGTTAAATAAATGACATTTTCCAATAAAAAGAGCTGGGGCTCCCTGGGGAAGCAGTTGATTACAGAGCTGGGATGGGGAAAATATGACTTTTGAACATCTGGATGTGCCAGAAATGCTAAAAGAAAAGGTGGGGCTTGTCGAAGGAACTCAGGAAATAACATAAAGGAGTTTGCACTGATCTTAGTTAGAATAATCAAAGCACAAAAAGAAAAGTTGATTAAAACCCATAGAATAAATATCCATGTCATAAATAAATAATGGAATAAAAACATAAATGAGGGAGAAAGCATACTGCTTCCTAACAGTGGATTCCAATTAATACAGACAGAGGGAATCAGGGAAACATAAATTCATTAGGGAAATACCACAAGCATAATGGGTACAGACAAAATCCACTTATGAACGTTAAAAATGGGGGGGCAAACAACTAGGGGAAACTAGGTTTTTGCAAAGAAATAACCAGTAAATGCAGTGTGGGATCCTGGAAACAAAATGCCACTGCAATCCGAGTGTTCATCTGAGTCACTATTACGTATCTGACAGTTTACTATGAGAGGGGGCTGGAGGAGAAATCTATGGAAACTGTACTATTGTTTGCCAATTTTTCGACGTCTCGATTTTTTTTTTTTAAGAGTACGCATTTTTGTCTTTGAAATGAGTAATCAGAATCATCCCCAAGTGCTAAGGAAAAACAGAGGTCAGCTGCAAGAAAGACACTGTACAGTAACCTCTGAGTGTACCTTTGTCCAAACCACTCCTGGCCTTAGAGCCCCCAGCTCCTTCCTCTGCAAAACCAAGCTCAATAGCAGTACTGCTTCTGGTTGTGAGGATCAGGTGTATGCACACAGGACGGCACCGACCAGGTAAGAAGCATGCCTTTCAGCTTCCTTCCTGAGGGGCCAAGCATGTCCCTGTCCTCAGAGCCCAACCCTATCACGCTCACACCACCCCTGTCTGCCCTGCTCGTTGCCTGCGTCACCCAGGGTTCAGCATGTGCAATGGTCTGCAGCAAGTGTGAAGGGTGAGTGAAACAGTGTGCAACCACTTCTACTGGAGGGCACGGTCCTCAGGGTGGGGGGTGAAGATAGTGCTCCCCTCCTCTGAAAACAGAAATGCTCTAAGCAGGAGGTAAGGGAAGTCGGACCACCCACCTGGACCCCTTCTGGGTGAGGCTGAGGCTTATGTACTCCTGCAGCAGGGAACCACACCCTCGCTCCTTGAGGCTGCCCTGATTCTCCCTTTTGTCTCCCCACGGGGTTCCCTGTGACTTCAGGAATGATGTGTTTTCCCATATCCTGCTAAGAAGGTAAAGTCTTTCGGTGGGCATTCTCTCCTTGTCCTTACTCGTCCTCGGGGCTTTGGCCTGGACCGGCGAGAGTCTCTGGTGTCCATCTGGTTTGCTTGTGCTGCCTTCATCGGGATCGGCCCAGACAGAGGGTCCTGAGTCCGAACCGTCTGCGGTGTTGCTAACAGGCCTCCTGTCTGTGCCCTCAGCTGCGGCCCCCTTCATGCTAGCCTGCAGAGTTCCTGCTGCCCCTGGGGCCGCCCTGCGATCCATCTCTGGAGGTCCTGGGCTAAGGACAGACGGCGTGTTCCTGCGCAGACAGTACGAGGCCTGCACTCGGTTTCCTTCCCCCCCCGTGTAGGCCAGGGAGGCAGCCAGGGACACATCGCTGAGCACGGAAAGGCTGCTGCCGTTGACCTGATCTCGGTCCCCTTGTCCGTGGAGCTCCATGGCCTGTGTCGAGAGAAGAAACAGGGAAGTGGAGAAGACAGTGAGGGGAGGAGGGATGATCACCTAAGCTAAGCTACTGCAGGGCTGTAACTGGGAGAACCTGTGGGGTCCTCAAGTCCGGTGCATGCAGGGAGGCAGGAGCGCTGGGAGGCCATGGGGGCAGGGGGGCTGTGCCCACAGGGAGGCTGTGGCACAGGAAGGTGGTGCAGGAAGGCCATGCAGGAAGGCCATTCGAGCAGGGAGGCCCTGCCCACAGGGAGGCCTCAAAGCACCCCCACGATGGTCACTCGAGTTCTGTGCAGACACAGTTGTGCTGCCAGGAGGGCACTCCCACCATTCAGAGGGCACCCTCAAAGGGCCATTGGACACACTGGTCTTAGCATTTCTGCACAACAGATTCTGGGGTGGGTTGGGGGGAGACTGCTGGCCGAGCTGTGCTCAGTGTATACTCTCATACAGAGCACAAGCTGTGCACACCTGCCATGCTGCTCATGAACAGAGCTCCGTGTGCGGCTCCAGCTAAAGAACGACTGCCACACGCTTGCCAGTGTCCCACGACACACGCGCTGGCCTGGATTGCGGTAGCAACTGGTCCAGGGTGGACTGGGCAGAGGAGGTACTGTTGGTGGCACTGCAACATCGGCCATGAGATCAGAGGAGCCGGCATGTGAGGGGCCACAGGTGTTCACAAGCACTGGGACCTTTCCAGTGAGGCAAGGTCTATGCATGGTGCCTAATGGGGCCTGAGCTCTTCCGAAGGCAGTGCTTTCTCCCAGGGAGTCTCAGAGAGCTGCCTGGAAGGGCCCTCGCTGCTCTTCCAAGTCACCCTGGCCCCACCGCCCAGAGTCCACACAAAGGCTTACAGATGGGCTCCTCCTGTCCTCCGCCTCCAGCCCGGGTATGGAGACCATGTCACCTGCAGGCTGGGCCTGGGTCCCACTGTACGCCTCCATGGGGGGCCTCAGCAGGCCCACCAGGTCCTCCCAGAAGGCAAACATATCTTCCTTCGAATTGGAAGGAGGGCACAGCTGCAGGTAGAAAGAGCGGCCCGTGGCAAGCTTCAGCTGGAATTGCTTTTTGTCGTGATTATAGATGGATAACTTCACAAACTTCAAAGGAAGCAGCCTGTTGGGCAGCAAAGAAGTGGGGGATTAGGCTGAGACAAAGGGGAAGGAACAGGGAGGCAGTCTTCCGGCCCTGTCAGAATCTATTATTTCCTAAAGGATCTGCCAAATCCTGTCCACCCAGCTCAGCCCTCCTGCCAGAGCCACGATCCTGAGACATGCCGCCATAATTTGGAGCTAGCCCTTCGCCTGCCAGACCTCATAGGACACCAGGCCAGCTCCTGACCACCTACTAGGAACCCCCTACTCCCCACTCTGCCATGCAAGGGCTGCTGCCATGTGCCCCCAACTGTCCTCCTGGCCTTGAGCCCAATATTGCCTCCTCTGATTCTGACGTGGCTGCGGGTCAAGGAGTGGCGGGCGTGCCCACTCTGCACACATCCCACACAGAGGGACTCAAACTCCCACACTTGCCTGGTCAGTTCCAAGCTCTCTGCTGCCTTGAGGTCCGTTCTCCGGGTGTCGGAGTCATCACCGGCACTGGCCACACAATGTGTGGCTGGCTGGGCCAGCAGCATGACATCGGGCCCTGGCAGGTGCTGGCCGGTATAGGCCACACCAACTGTCACCATATGCATGGTGTTGTGCACGTCGATCACCTCTCCCCGTCTGTTGACCTGGTGGTGTTGGAAGAAAGAGGACAGTGGCTTGGCCATGCATTCTCTCCTGTCTTCCTCGGCCCCACTCCTCGGAGAAGCGGCTACCGCAGCTCTCGGCGTGTGGCCGAAACTCAGCAGGCCGAGTTCCAGCCGTGCACCGTGCGGACAACTGGGCTCACGCGAAACAGACATTGTATTAAGACCAAGAACAGCTTTCCACCTCAAAAATACCAAGGCAAGAAACCCAAAAACATAAAGGGATTAAAGGTGGGACAGTCAAGTGCAACACATGATCTGGGCTGGGAAACCCTGCTACTGAGAACGCCATGGGGATGACTGAGAAAACACACACACACACACACACACACACACACACACACACACACTACTAGTCAAAGGGCAGGAAATCGGGCCGTGGTTACCTAAGTAAACATCCAAGTTCTTAGCAGACTCAGGAAGAATTTAGAGCTAAGGAGGCCAAATATCGTCACTTACTCAACGAGGGTTGAGCGAGCAGGACAGTCCACATCTTGAGTCTGGGTGCGTTCACCAGCTGGAATCCCGCCCTCATATTTTGGGTAGCCAGGGGCTCCACGGCCCAGACCGCCCAGTCACGGCACCCAAATCCTGGGGGAGGGACCCGGCATCGGGGTCCTCGAGGCTTTGCAGGGGACTCCAAGGAAGAGCCAAGGCTGAGCAAGACTGATAGCTGAGCGGTCATGGAGCTCCGGGTCAGGTGGCACCTGTCCCCTTGCACCCTCTTCCCTGCCTCACCCCTACAGGTGTAGTCGCTCACGCTGCATGGCCAGAGCATACCGGATGCCACAGCCAACACCACCGTCCTGAAAGCTGTGTAGACCAGAAACTCCCTGAGCTGAAAGCCTGACGACCTGGAAAGTCACATCACTCCCTGGGGCTCAGTCGGCCTCTCAGGACAAGGGGGTCTTCGTGCTGCTGACATAAGTAGATTGTTGTGAGGCTCACAGGGGATGGACACCAGACTGAGCAGGACCCTGGAGAGAACCACATACACATGATCGCAGGACCTGGAACCTCGAGTTCCTACAGAACATCCTGAGGGAGGAAAAGCAATGGCAAACATCCCAACCAGCAGGACCTCATGGCACAAGTTCACCTGTCAAACCCACGACCGGACTGATCTCCGAGAGTTATTAAGCGTTTAGTAAGGACACACACAGGACAACACCTGCCTGACAATAAGGGCATCACATACGGCAAAGGGTGACATTGGATAAAACATGCTGGAAAAATCATGCAGTGAAAAAAACAAACAAACAAAAAAACCAGTTACTTTCCTCTACCCACCTGCAAAGTCACTCAAGATATCATTACACACTCAGAACATAATAGGTCTACAGTATTGTTGTGGGAAGAAAAGAAGGAAAGGGAGGAAGAGGGGGAGCATTCATGAATCAGGGAGAACAGGGAGAAAGGGGCACATATGTAAATCAGGGAGAATACTGGAGAAGGGGGCATATACATGAATCGGAGAACAGGGAGAAGGGGGCACATACATGCATCAGGGAGAAATGGGAAAAAGGGGACACATACATGCATCGGGGAGAACAGGGAGAAGGGGGCACCATGAATCAGGGAGAAGTGGGACCAGACCGTGAATCGGGGAGGAGGGGGGGACCGGAACATGAATTTGGGAGGAGGGGATGGCCCTTCACCTGTATGAAGTCACTCTCAAATGTGGGGACGTCCTTCAGGAGCGCATACTCTCCCTTGCCCAGCAGCTGGTGCAGCTTCCCTACAGAGCTGTGGAACATGGGCAGCACAGGGCAGCTCTGGGTGCTGGGGTCTGCTGACTCCCTGTCGCTGTCCATGGCTCCCTTGCACTAAGAGACCTGCAGAGAGATCAGAGGTTTTCTTGCCCCTGTGACTTGGGCTGTTTACTCAGCACCGGCGCACACGTGCTGGCACAGAGTTAACACCCATATCCTGCCGTGGTGTGACTTTGACACAGGGTCCTCTGTGCACATATGCCCCCCACACCGGCCGGCCGGGTGCCCATGTGGGACCTGGAGGAAGGCCTCCTGTCCTTGGCTGAGGGAGGCCAGCACCAGACACCTGCACAGCTCAGGAACCACAGTGCAGGCCGTCGTGCAGACCCTTACCCTCACTCCTCAGCCACTGCCTTGTGCAGTGAACCTCTACAACTTTGTGGACAGGCCTGGCCTCAGAGACCCCAAACTTTCATTTTCCCACTCTCCCTGGCCCAGGCCTCACCTTCACTGAGGATTCACTGCATCCAAGAAAAGTGGCCAGCACTTCTATCTAAACAAAGACAGTCACCTGATCTGAGCTTTTCATTACTTCTCCCCCTCGGGAAGGCTTTCCATTTAGACAACTGTCCCCTCCAACCTGGGTCAGGATTAGGACCAACCCCACCCTAACCCCGACCCCAGCTGAGGTCCACTTAGACCACTGTCCCTTCCCTCCTGGGTCAGGGTCAGGATCAAGCCCACCCCGACCCCAGCTGAGTCCCTACTCTGGTAAGGCTCTCTCCTACAACCTTCCTGCCCTCGCCTCCTTAGGGGATCTACACTCTGAACCCGGGTCCTGATGAGGTTCTGCCCCAGCCCACCCCAGGGGTCTCCTCCTGGGGCTCTCCCACGAAGCACGGGTCGGGCTCATCTAACCCTGGTCTAGGTCACGGTCTTGGCGCGTCCACCCCACCGTCACACCCCGACCTGGTGTAGGTCACGGTCCTGGAGCAGCCACCCGACTGTCACACCCCACCTCGTCTAGATCATGGTCTTGGCATGGCCACCCCACTATCACTCCCACGCCCAGGCACCCCTCCCTGCGCCCCGCCGTCCTGTGGGGCCACTGAGGACTGACCCCTGGCCTCTGGGTGGGCACCGGCGGGCCGCGCAGACCCGACCTCTGGAATCCCAGGTGCACCGGCCGCTCCAGCGGCCAGGGCGCCCCCGCCCTGCCCCGAACACGCTCTCGGCCCGCGGTCCCCTGGAAGCCCTGTCTCCGCCCCGCACAGGCCGCCCTTCAGCTCTGTCATTGTGAGCTGGAGCCGTCACACAGCACTGTGCCCTCATCCCCGCAGCCGCCCCTCCGCACAAACACCTGCCACCCACAAGGGACGCCCCAGCGCAGGACGCGCAGACGCAGTCACCTCCTCCGCAGGGAAAGGCAGCCCGCTGCGGACCAGCGAGGAGAGCGCATGAGCGGACTCCTGAGCGAGGGCCGCAAACTCCGCCGGGTTCAGGGCGGGACCGGAGGGCAGGAGCGCCTGAGCGAAGGCCACCAACTGTGTATGCCCCTTTAAGGGCGGGCCAGCAGCTGCGCAAGCGCAGTCACCGCCATGCGAGTGTGGTAGGTCAGAGCGCATGCGCAGAAGTAGAGGGCGCAATAAATGTTTCTGGGGTTTGGTGCTGGAGGGAGCAGGAACCGGGAACTTAGCTTTCTTGGGTTTACAGAAAAGGCGGCACAAGGGTGTCCCCGCTCCTGTCAGGATGCCCTGCTCCTTTGCATCTCCTGGCATTGTGCACTAAAGCTGGTATCAGCAGGTCCCTGATGTTAGCCCTCCGGGACTGGGTCAAGTAGGGTCAAGGCCGTCTCAGGAACAGAACCAGAAAACTAGCTAAGGCACAGCATCTAAGCAGTGTTTTTGAACAACCAGACAGGGTAGAAACATTCTGTGTTCGGATGACTTCAGGGTTTTTCTAGTGTCTCTGGAGATCAAAACTCCTTGTCTTGTACAAACTGAGCAGATGGACCTCGTGGAAAGCAGGCATTTGGAGAACTGCTGGAGGAGCTCGTAGCCCCGGTCCACCTGAATCCACAAGCCCCTACAGCTGACCAGTTCCATGCATTCTTCAAGTGAGTCTCTGTGGCCGCAGCCCTCAGAAGAACCAGGAATAGAGCATCCACTGACCTACTTTGAGGCGAGTTTATTTCAGGGGACAGCAGAGTCGCATCTACCCACACATAGCCTGGTCTAGAGTACGGCAGACCCGTGGGGGAGTCCCCGGGCCAATCCTCCTGCAGAACAAACAGGGACTCCTAGGGGACCATGCACAGTAAGTCCAAGGAGCGTGGCTTCTCCTCTCACCAAGGAATGCCAAGTACAAAGCTAGGACTAGCCCAGGATCAGGCTACCTCTGTCAGAGAGGACTCTTCAGACTCTGTGGGGCTGGGGCTGGCTATGGGTGAGGACTGAAGTTGTCCTCACTACAGTCCCCTACCCTCCCTGGATCGTGCTCCCAGGCACACCAAGCAGGGGTGGACAGGATGGTATCTTAGGAGCTGACCCTTCCCTGATGTTCTCTATTCTTCATTCTCTATTTTATTTGTCTTGGTTCTAATATTTTATGATTCTCTTCCTTATGCTAGTACATTAGTTTTCCCTATTTACTACCCATTACAAGTTTATATCCTTTAACATCTCCCTAACCCCTCATCCCACCCATGTTAATCACCAATCTACTCTCTGTTTTATAAATTCAGCTTTTCTAGACTTCCATATATAAATGATGTCATGCAGGGTTTATCTTTCTGTCTCAGTTATTTCATTTAGCATAATGCCCTCAATAATAGCACCAGTGATGCTCCAAATGTCTTCTTTTCCATGTCCAGATATATTCCATCCCATGTAAACACCACATATCCTTTATCCATCCATTCATTGACAAACACTTAGGTTGTGTCCATATCCATATCACAACTATTGTGAATAATGCTTCAGTGAATATAGGAGTGAAGATTTTTCTTTGAGATACTGATACCATCTCCTTTCACTGTATTTCTCAAAGTAGGATTACTGGATCACAAGGTAGTTCTTTTTTCTTTCTTTTTTTTTTATTGTTTTAGGAACTTCCACACTATTTTCCATACTAAATGAACCAACTTACCTTTTACCAACAGTGCACAAAGGTTACATTTTCTCTACATTCTCTCCAACACAGATAGTCTCTTGTCTTCTTCTTGATATCTAGTCCAACATTCCGTTCATGTGAGGCAACATATTATTGTGGTTTTGATTTGCATTTCCCTGATGCTTGGTAATGGTGACCATCTTTTCACTTACCTGTTGACTATTTGGATACCTTCTTTGGAAAAATTCTGTTGAGTTCCTGTACCATTTTTCTTGATCAGATTTTGTTGTTACTGAGTTTTATATTCCATTTCATAGGCTGTGTTTTTATTTTGCTGATTGTTTCTTTTGCTGTGCAAATGCTTTTGAATTGGATGTAGTCCCACTTGTTAATTTTTACTTTTGCTACTTGTGCTTTGATGTCATATCCCAAAAAGTCATTGTTAAAACCAGTGTCAAGGAGCTTCTTTCATGTTTTGTTGTTGTTGTCGTTGTTGTTGTTGTAGAAGTTTTAAGGTTTCATATCTTACGTTACATCTTTAATCCATGTCATGTAATTTTTGTGAGTGATAGAAGGTAGAGGTACAAATTCATTTTTCTGTTCTATACGGCTACCCAGTTTTTCCATCACCATTTGTTGAAGACACTATCCTTTCTCTGTTTAGTTTTCTTGGTTCCCTTGTCAAATATTAGTTAACTGTATATGAAGGAGTTTATTTCTTGGGTCTCCATTTGCTTCTTCAGCATCTATATTCATCAGAAACATTGGCTTATAGTTTTATTTTTCTTGTAGTGTTCTTATCTGGCTTTGATGTCAGGGTGACGTTGCTCCTGTGGCATTCTGGAATCTCCCTTTGGTGAGTTTGTATGGCTACAAATTCTTTATTATCCATGGGTGTCTGTCCAAGTCAGCAGTCTTTAGTATTTTCCCAGATAGATCTCAGAGTGTTTGGGGACGATTTGGTGAATCTTACTCTTTCTAACACCTATACCTAAGTCTGTCTACCTGTAAGCAGATGCATAGATTGGTGAGCCTTCTCCCACATCCCTTGGAGTTTAGTACCAGATCCAACCACTTCCATAGAGTATGTCTCTGTGTGAATGTCTCATTATCGTTAATAAAGAGAGGGGTGCGAAGGAGGGACATTTCATGCCACCACAATGCTGACTTACATTTCACATAGATTGAAAATTATTTTAACATGCTTCCATTTTAAGTAATAATAAATAATAAGTAGAGTGAAATACCAAAATTATAATACCATGTTTTATGTTTCTCTTTGTTAGAGATCTTTATAGCTTCATATGACTTATAGTTACTATCCACCTTTCATTTCAACCACAAAGACTCCCTTTAGCATTTGTTGGGCATATCTAGTGGTAACAAAAGTACTAGACTCTGCATATTGAGAGAAGAAAGAGTATTTATACACATATGACAGACTTAAAAGAGTGATATCAAGTGGACAATTGGCTATATAGTTCTGGAGCTTAAAGTTGTGGCTGATCTATAGTTAAAATTTTGCAAGATTTTAACATATAGATGATATATGAAAATATGGGGATAAATATGATTTTTCAACAAGAGTGTGTAAACACAAATAAATAACGAGCAAGCACAGAGGGAATTCAAAACATAAGTTTTAAGTGATGGAAGAAGACTCAAAAAAAAAAACAAATAAAGAGAGGGGGGATAAGAGATGGGAAGACATTTATAAGATGGTTAAGCAGACTCTTCTAGGAGATGAGAGGCCCTAAGGCATTGAGTGTGGAAAGTGAGGATTAAGAATTTTTCATAAAAGTTATCCACACAGATTTACTGTTTTCCTGGGCAGGGTGGATTCTTTGGTCTGGGGAAAATGCACACCATTCCAGTCACAGTGGGAGAGGAAAATGGTTTTGTAAAGAATTGGAAGCAATTCTACATGCAAAAAATTACCCAGAAACACCTGTGTGAAGAGATGGGAAAAGGTGTGATGTTCAAAGGCTATG